TTAATTTTTAAAATTAGTCACGGCTGTAGTCACGGATGTGGCCGTGACTATGTCGCCGGAGTAAAACAAGCCAGGCCGGAAAATCAAACGGGCAATCGGAGGATGTTAGTCACGGTCAAATATCCGTGACTACGTGTAGTCACGGCTGTAGTCACGGATTGTACCGTGACTAATTTTTTTTTTAAATTTTCGTGACTAGTCCGTGACTAGTCCGTGACTAGGCTAGTCACGGACCAAATCCGTGACTACGGTCCGTGACTAAACGAGTGTTTTTTTGTAGTGATGTCCCTCCAATTAACGTTCATCAAACATAAAAGATTTCATATAAATATCAACTACCAGGCGAGGGTTTGAGGGACGGAGGACCCAATCTGGCCGGTTTGAGGGGAAACCGGCAATCTGGCCGCCGTCACTGAGAATAGCAGAGAGGTCGGAGAACCCATCTAATTCGGCACCCTCACCGTGTTCTTACCAGGGAATCTGCGTTCCAAATCTGAGGCAGAGACTGGCCAGGCACCAAAGGGGATCTGCGGTGATGGTTCTATCAACGGAGGGATCTCTAGGAGGCAACTAAGATCGTCGTTGACTGCAGGGATTCTAACGCAGGTGCCTGCGGCTACCACGCGACGGCAGAGCATCAAGGGCAGTGTGGAGGAGATCTCATCTACAATACCTGCTCTCCTGGAGCTTAACGCGACAAGGAAGGACCTCAGGGGCATCTACGGCAGGCCAGCACGAACATTTGTGGGTAAATTCTACGGCCAACACCAAAATTTTGAAGCAATTGGGTGCTAAGGGGTGAGGGCTGTGAGGAATAGATATGGAAGACTTTCTGGACTCTTTTAGTTTTTCTTTTTTGTTTCTATTATTTAAATTCTAATGAGCTGCCGGCTTCACATATCTCCTAGCTAGATGGACTTGAGTAACAGATATGCTTGATATGCTTGATATTTTTGCTATCTAGAGTACTTCGTATATTTTTAAAATGAGGAATGATCATTAGTATTAAAGACTTAAAGTATTGGATTAAAAAATGAGCTTTACATAGTGATTATATTCATAATTTTTGTGGGCTATGGGCATGATTATATCAAAATTTACATTAGCATGAGTACGATAGCAAGCATCCTCCACTATCAAAATTGTATAAATTCTAGCACAGGTAACATCATTACAGTCTTTCATTTATCAAGCGGGATCCTCCGCTATAAATTCCCTATTAAAATGAAAGATAGATTTAGAGTCATAAAGTTCCATAAAATTTTTGTCGACATTATGCTTATAAAAAAACTTGATCTCATTTTTATTCATGTAGTCTATTTTAGTCATACTGGGATTTTGTTTTAAATTTATACTCCGTAAGTGTTATATTTATTCATGTAGATTTTAGTCATACTTGGATTTTGTTTTAAATTTATAAAATATAATTTAAGTTCATAAAAAGTGGCAGGAAGTCTACTTAGAATGTTTTCTTTTGGACTATTTTCATTCCCAAACCCGATCAGACCAGACAAGACTTCTGTAACTATAAAATACAGAGAGACCAGACGTTTACCAGATCAGATCGGACCAGCAAATTTCTGTCCAAAAGAAAACATCCTTACTTCATATCGAATGTCATTTAAGCAAATATAAAATGATAAAAATTGAAAGCATTTAGAAAAGAAAAAAAGTGTTAAAAATGGGAGATCTAAAATTTCTCAGTGTTCTTTTGAATTATATATTTCTTCAATATTCTTTTTAATATTTTCACGGTTTAAATATAAATTTAACATTTTTAATTTTATATTTTGATTTTCAGATATAGATTGGATAGTTTGCTAGGCGAACAAGACCAATAGAATGGGCTATAGCCTATACGACACAAAGAGAAAATTGTTACATATAGTTCTTATCAAGTTTTAGAGGTGGTTTACTTTAATCATTTAATCAAGTTTACTTTTGACTTAGTAGACTTATAACAGTGATTTAATCATTTAACCATTAAGTCATGTTACTTACAACTTAATTGAAAGTACAAATCAATCATTCAGAGCCCGTTTGGTAGCACAAAAAATATCGGCTGATTTGATTGATTTTGCTGAAATTTATGAAATTCTGGCTGAAAAAGCTGCATTGGCTGATTTTGTTGATTTAAAAAAAAAATATTTTATTAATAAAATAAAGAAAAATATATACGTAAAAATATCTAAAATGGTCATCTACAGCAACTTCAGCTAATACAGCCAGAAAAGTAATTTTAACCTTACTTTTTCTTACTTATTAGACAATTCACCGAGCGGGACAAAAAACTTGGCTAAATTTTGATAAGTCGAAAAACAGTGTTGCCAAACGACCTCTCAATCAGAAAACTGACAAAATCATTAAACTAAAATAAAATACCCCTTTTTTGTTAATTTTTTAATCAGTTATGGAATAAATTTATGTGATTAAATGATTTTTTTATTTGCTTTACAACTGAAGAATAATACTAAACTGACTATTTTATGCAATTCAGACAATATATTCAGCACAGAAAATAAAAAGCTTCATAAACAAATACTCTCTCCGCCCCATTCGACTTTGCAGACTTTCCATTTTTGAGTGTCCCAAAAAACTTTGCGACTTTCATATTAAAATAACTATATTGTGATTTTGTCTAATTCTCTCTCATCTGTACAAATTTCAACCATACGCTTTTTATTATTCTTATTTCTCACATAATTTAAAGAGTACAAATTCTATTAGGACAGAGATAGTACGTACAACTTAATCCAAAGAGACATTTTAATATAGGTAGACAACTTAATCTAGATAGGACTTGATAGAAAAAATAGTAAACATTCCTTTAATCTTCTTTAAAAAATTGATCTTATAATTGTACAATTTTTTAAGTTTTTTGCATATTTTGCGTTGCGCTATCATTGTACATTACAGTTTATTACACAATTGTCACTTATTGATTTATTTATAGAATCACATTATCTCATTTTTACTATGGTCACAATTTGCTATCAGTTTATCACTATGTTACATTTTTATATTACATTTTTATAAGTTATTTATAATTATTTTGAAAAAAATTTCATACCGTGCATCGCACGGGTGATATACTAGTGAATCTTTAACTTCTGAGTGAAGCACATATTAAATTTTAAACTTAATGATAAAATATGCTAGATCAATGATTAGTAAAATCAAAATGAGAAATATAATCCATATTATTTGTCCTGGACATATTATGATTAAGATATTTTTATTTAAATAATGAAGATATATATGCAGTCAAACACCCAAGCAGAAGGCAAACACATTTGAAAATGGCTCTCGATACATATTTAAGATAGCAGGTATTTGAGCTGTTGTGATTGTTAATATTTATCCCTTTAGTTTATATAGGAAGTTGGTAATACTTCTTTTTAATTTGTAAAACTCACAATTTGTTTCTATACTATTGTGCTACGATAAGTCCAAAACTTAAGATGATGTTCAAAGCGTATTTCTCAGAAATCTAAATAAAAAACTATGAGATGTTTAAATGACATTTTACTGATTCTCATTGAGAAATCAACTCACCATTTTGTTCAACTTAATATGGTTAAACATTTATGAGCTTTTTGAGCATACAAGAATAATGTGTTCCATGAACAAGGACGAGGACTTGGAAAGTACTGAAGAAGTGTCAGGAGAACAAAAGAGAAGAAGAATGTGGGAAGATCATGAGGGGTCAGGCAAGGACTCTATGGCTGTTGTTAAGAAAAAAAAACAGGGAGGAGGCGGGCTCAGATATCTAAGCCCGTCGAAGGTGCAGATGCAAGGAGCAGGTCCGGGATGGTGCCTTGGCTTAGTGCTTATTTTGTCATTATGTTTGCTTTTTTGGGATTGGGTACTCCGTTTTTTTCCAGTTTGTTATTTTTCTGCATTGTAAGACTTTGAGCTTGGATTTGGGTGGTAGGTGGTTTGCATCTACCGTCTTTGGCTTAGTTGCGCCCATAAATGGATCAACGAGTTATATTGCTTCTTTTGAGGTGATTAACTCCGAGTCTGGTTCGAGGGTCAGCAGTTGCCTGCGGTCTCTTTATCTTTATAGCCCTTATCTGTATGTTGTGATATCAATTTAAGGCACCTTTCATCAAAAAAGCAATTTATGTACAACTACTTTAGAATGTTTGTATAATAGAGATTTGTATTGCTTTTGTAGATATTCTGCTATTTCAATTCCAGTTCAAGCAAACTTTTAGATACCCACGAGGACAACAATTTTTCGAGAGACGGATGGATATAAGGTGCAGAACCATATAACATTCTGTGCAGTTGTTAATTTGTTCTGATTATATGTTCTTTTGATAGTTTACTCTCATCCTGACTAAATATTAAAAAAATCTATTTTACATAAATAATACTCCGTATTGAACATTTATCCAATTGCGCGTCGCGCATGTAAGAACTACTGGATAGTACTATAGATATATAGATATGTAGATATAGATAAAGTTTACTTTCCCATGATAACTATTATTTGGATTTAACCATTGATATTGTTACTACGCTTATTAAGAGGCCGTTTGACAACACTGTTTTTCAGTTTATCAGACTTATCAGTCAACTTTTTCACCAAATACATAACTTTTGTTTTTGCACGCTGAATTGTGTAATAAGCAGAAAAAGTATGGTTGTAGATACTTTTCTAGCTGTATTGGCTGAAGTTACTGTAGATGACCATTTTAGCTATTTTTATATATAATGTTTTCTTTATTTTATTAATAAAAATACGGAGTATTTTAAATATAATTTTTTTTAAATCAGCCCATGCAGCTACTTAAGCCAGAACTTCATAAATTTCAGCAGAATCAACCAAATCAGCCGATTTTGGTGCTAACAAACGGGCTCTCAGATTAAGAATCAGCCCAATTTAATTTTAGTTCGGCTCAACTAAAAAGAAACCGCCAGTCCACACCTGGAATATCTACCCTGACCCTACGTCGCGTATATATACACGGATTGGCTTCTTCGATCGGCTTCCCTGCTGTACGAACTTCGTCTTCTATATCCTCATTATTTCCTCTCATTCGTTCTCTTATTCTCAGCTCCTATGATGTTCACTATAAATGGTGAAAAAGACGAGCATGGCAGGAGAAAGAGAAAGCACGATTTGGGTGAGAGCAGCGGAGGAATTTACATCCCTCCTTTTAAGTTGGCCAGGATGATGGAGGATGCGGAGGACAAAAGCTCGGCGGAATACCAAAGGATGACGTGGGATGATCTTAAGAAGAGTATAAATGGGCTGGTTAATAAAGTGAATGCAACAAATATTAAGAACATAATTCCAGAACTGTTCGCTGAGAATTTGATTCGTGGAAGGGGCCTGTTTGTCCGCGCTTGTATCAAGTCCCAAATGGCTTCTCCTGGTTTCACTGATGTCTTTGCAGCATTGGCTGCTGTTGTTAACACCAAGTTTCCAGAGGTGGGGGATCTTCTTTTGAGGAGGATTGTTTTGCAGCTACAAAGAGCCTACATACGCAATGACAAGGTCCGTACTTCTTATCCTCCTTAAAATAATGTGTAATTATTTATTGCTAAAGTAGTGGAGAGTTGGAACATTGATGCTGTTTTATTCTACTTAGGGTACGGTCTAGTTAGTTTTCAGATGCTTCTATTCATGATTTGATTTTTAACGTCCATGGTGTGCTTTCCTTGCACTCTTGCAGCCCAAATTGTTGGCAGCTATGAAATTCATTGCTCATCTTGTAAACCATCAAGTAGTTCATGAGCTGGTTGCCCTTGAACTTCTTGCTGTTTTGCTTGAAAATCCCTCAGACGACAGTGTTGAAGTTGCAGTTGGTTTTGTTACTGAGTGTGGATCTATTCTCCAAGACTTGACTCCACGTGGATTGGACGGTAAGTCAACTTTTAAAGTGTATAATTTCAATAACCTTCCCAATTGGTTTGAAATTTGTCCATTTTACATACATCTGTTTCGCTTTCAACACTCTAGGATTCCATAGACTCAATCAGATAGTGAACACTATCAGTTCTTTATAAAGATTATTGGGCACTTATTTCTTTGCTTGGCATTGAAAGTAGTGAAGCTTTATTTGTTTTATAGTTTGTTTCTATTTTAGAGCTTTGGGTATATTCAGAGAGGCCTCTGGACACAGAAATTTTCTTATGAGCTTTGTGACCCTGTGAAAAGCTTCTCTTTAGATCATACTATTAAGTAATAATAGTGATAAGTCTCATGACTTTTAAAGGGTTATATTGTAGAGTGCCCAAACTTTTCAAAAACGAAATGTGTCAATGCAAAATGATGTGTTCCTTTCTCACCGAAAGAGAAACAATTGCATCACCAAATTTTATGATGCACAATAGAATGTATGTGGCTGACTACTGGCTGAGGGTCCAGTTTATATGACTATAATAGATGCTGTTTACACTTGCATAAACTTACTTGAAGATATAGTTGAAGATATTGTTGAACAATTGTAGGCCACAACCAATGAACATAATGAAGAAGAATCAACTCATCAATTATAGATGGCAATTGTCTATTGTCCTCCTAAGATGAAAGACTATTTGCAGCGCATACTCTGCGTAGCCTGTTTTCCATCTACTGTAATTTATAGCCATTCCTATTTTAATATTTTGTTTTTACGTTTTAGATTGGTTTCATACTGAAGGGAGGACCTCTACTTCCTTTATTGCTATTTGTGAAAAAGTGTACTAAATTTTTTCTCAAATGAGTTTTGCTTATTGGATTCTGTAGGTATTGTGTCCTGCATGCAGAACCATAGATATGTATATTTTTGGGGCATTTAAATGACATGAATTTTGGGATATAAATAGGCATTTTTGAGCGGTTCCGTGGGATACTTCATGAAGGAGAGATCGATAAAAGAGTTCAGTTCTTGATTGAAGGCCTCTTCGCAGTACGTAAATCAAAGTTTCAGGTAAACCATTCTTAATGTCAAGATATGAATGCACACCATCTCAGTTTTGATATTGACAATTTCAATTTTGCGTATTGATTTGTCATGTCAAGTAACTTTGACACCCCGCCCCAAACTCTTTTGTAACTAAGGCTTGGATGTTGTTGTTGTTGTTGAAGTAACTTTGACACCCCATAAAAGACACAACTATCTACAAAGATAGTTTTTTATTTTAATTTTGTAAGAGTTATGACTTATGCCATATAGTTAATAACTGTCAGATTGCATCAAACCTTGAAATTGTAAAAGAATAAAAGGTAATCGGTGGATGCAGCATTGGATTTTAGGTCATTGTATTATAATCCTACCAGAGTTTTGAATTGCTATTTTTACACAGGGTTATCCGGCAGTTCGCCCAGAGCTCGATTTAGTAGAGCAGGAGGATCAGTTGACCCATGAAATATCTCTTCAGGATACTATAAAAGATGAAGATGCACTGAATATTTTCAAGCTAGATCCCAATTACTTAGAAAACGAAAAGAAGTATGAAGAATTGAAAAAGGCAATACTAGGTGATGAATCTGAGGAAGAAGGGGATTTTGATGCTGAGTCTGTGGATGAAGATGAAGAGGATGAAGTCAAAGATGATGAAGAACAAATGAAAATAACTGATGAGACTGAAACAAACTTAGTCAACCTTCGAAGAACCATCTATTTAACAATAATGTCGAGTAAGGACTTTGAGGAAGCAGGTCATAAACTGTTGAAGATTAAACTTGAGCCTGGTCAAGAGGTTAGTGTCATTAATTCTTCATTTATGTATCTGTTTTGTTTTCATTGTTGATTGTGTAGAGTATGCTATTCACTGATGGGGTTGACACTCCTAACTCTCACAATTATTATTAAAAAAACTTCAAAAGGGTGGGGGTGCTGTGGGAGAATGGAAATGGTTTCCACCATCTTAAAGTTAATGGCTAAGATGTGTTTTATTTCCATGATTGTCCTCTATTTTCCAAGCTTAATTTTGAATGTGACTGGTATTTTTCTAAAATTATACGAAATTAAACAGCGTAAAGGGTGTTACCATGAAACAACTTGAGTCAAGTATGTAACACACATTCATGTAGGGAGAAAGGAGTTCAACATAGAAACTAGTTAAGACCGCAATTTGTTATTTGGTGACTATCCAGTACAGTTCTGAGTGGTATACTGGTAGAGTGGTATTTCACTTTGATTATCATGCTCGTCAATTCCAATATACTATATGCAGTTCGTTTTACAGTAAATTATAATGTTTCATAGAAGATTCATTGAAAAGTTAAAAGTTAATGTTAACAATCACTTTCCTTTTGGCAGGGTGTGATGTATCTTAGGTGGTTACCAGTAAATGTTGAAATTCAGAATTGGTTAAGTGAATTGCTATTCAATGCAGAATAGGATTTTCTGTGTCACCATGATAATCACCAATATTTCTTTGGGTATGTTTGAATAACAGAATATGCCAGGTGAAGGAGAAAAAAATACTTGGTTTCTTATGATTGTGATGACTTATATAAATGCAAAAGAAATTGGAAATTGTGTAATTTGTAAAAGATATTTCATATACTAAATTATTTCTAATGGTCTGTAACGCTATATAATGGTGGGTATTGAATTGGTAAAGTGCGTGTAAAGTAAGAATGAGTTGCAACCACACAAATATTACCAAATATGGTTTAGGACAAACTAAGTTGGATGGATGAAAAAAATGAGACAAAAATAAGGGGACGGGGGGAGTATATACAATGAGTTTGAAGAAATATCCTGAATAAGTTTATTGAGTTAAGAGCCTACCTTCCTTTTCCTGAATTTGATTTGTTTGTCATTTTCTTCTTGCATATTCTCTGCCATTAGTATTTTCCTGGATCGAAAGAGACCTTAGTGACCCTGAATGCTACTTAGAGTTCTGACATTTTACTGATGATGTGATATTTAGTATTCAGTTGGGTACACAAGTAACTCTCTGATGGTATGTTTTCGGTGTATGCAGATGGAATTATGCATAATGCTTCTAGAGTGTTGCAGCCAGGAGAGAACCTATGATCGTTACTATGGGCTTTTGGGTCAACGTTTTTGTATGATCAACAAGATTCACCAGGAGAACTTTGAAAAGTGCTTTGTGCAACAGTACTCAATGATTCATCGGTTGGAAACCAATAAACTGGAAAATGTTGCCAAGTTCTTTGCCCACTTGCTTGGAACTGATGCATTGCCTTGGCATGTTCTAGCTTACATTAGACTCACAGAAGAAGATACCACCTCCTCTTCCCGCATCTTCGTCAAATATCTATTTCAAGAATTATCTGAACATCTTGGGATCCGGCTTTTATATGAACGCCTCAATGACCCAACAATGCAAGAGTCATTTGACTCTATTTTCCCAAAGGACAACCCGAAGAACACAAGGTTTGCAATTAAGTTTTTCACATCCATCGGCCTGGGTGGGATCACTGAGAACCTCCAAGAACATCTGAAGATCATCATGCAGCAGCAACAGAAACCCACTGCCCCTGCTTCTTCCAATTCATCAGTCTCGTCATCCAGCAGCAGCAGCTCTGAGGAAGAGGATACCTCACGAAGAAGGAGGAGGCGTTGATCTGCCCAAATGTTTGACTCTGTATATCATATTTTTTGACTCTGTTCACTTTATAACATTTTTTTTTAAACAAACAGGCAACACAAGTACAGAAATATTGCTAATGCCAGTAGGTAATGTTTAAGGCTTTAAGCCTGAGTATGAGTATGTCTAGGAGAGTGGTTCACTTTCTTGTCCAAAATGTTGCAGTCTTGCAGAAAATGCTTGCGTAGGTTTGTTCAAGTACATAAATATTGCTAATGCCAGTAGGGTTGCAAATAAAACTCTAACATGCCTTTTGTGTTCTTATAAACTAAAGGCCTTTTTCATGCCCCCTTTAAGTAGGAAACAAACTGGTAATAAATGTCTATTTTAAGTGGGTAAAATTGATTATTCTGGATCTGCTTGGCTACTCAAACCAGATCAGATTTCGGATCATTAAATGCTATGAGGTTCGTTACATGGCAAAAACTGTTCGGTTTGTGTCTGGACTTCTTGATGAGCTATATAGCATATTAGGATTATTAGCTGTCAATGATGGTGAGAAGTTACATTTTCAATTTAAATGCCTATTTACGTGTCTTTGAAACTAAGCAATATTACTAAAACATTCACTTTGCCAACATTAGTGGTGGACTCGGGCCGGTTCGGGCCCGGGCCTAGGCCTGACCGGGCCGCCGGTTAGGAAATGTTGGGCCCGGGACTGGCCCGGGTAGCCACCGGGTCTGGTCTGGGTCCAGGCCTTGGGCCTTTTACAATTTTTTTTCCCTTTTTCTAATTACCCCCGACCCCCCCCCCTAACCCCCAACCCCCCAAACCACCCCAAATGACCCAAAATACCCAGCCCAACCCGGGGATTTTAAAAAAAGTTGAAAAAAAAATAAATAAGCCCGGAACCGGGCCCGGACCGGCCAGGTCGGTTCATGTTTTGGGTGACCCGAGCCCGGACCGGAAACCCCTCGGGTTGGGCCTACCTGGACCGGTCACTAGCCGGGCCACCGGGTCGGGCCGGGCAGAACAGTGCCGTTCCTGGGCCTGTTCCGGGTCGGGCCACCCGGCCCGAGTCCACCACTAGCCAACATCCTTCCTCACATCGATGCCTGTTATCCATTCTTGCTTACTTAGTCCCTCCCTGTTACCAAACCAAAACCATCTACTAAATGGACACGTGTTGTGTTAATTGAGCTTGTAACATCCTTCCTCACCAATGCACCTCCCAGAATTTAGGCCTTGAGCAATTTAAAAATCATGTATTTTAGAAATGTAAACAAATAAATCCAATAAGTATTCCAACTTCCAAGCATAATATAATATATCATGCATGTAATCCCCATTCTTTATGGAAGGTCGTTAGAAGCCATGAAGTTTAACTATACACTTAAGAATAGAATAATGTCCAACTCTCGATACTTGGAAGGAAGAAGAGCATATTGCTTCTCATATTTTGATCTTTTGTAGTCTCTATAAAAATTAAATCAGATGTTAGTGCTAGGATTTTTTTTTGTTCTATTAGCTTTATTCATATGTAAATTAAATTACATATTACACTATGACAGTGTTCGTTTATGTCGCTCATGGAAGGAGGATTCGAGGAATTTGTCCTATCAATTAATATTTTTACTTAAATACTGTGTTTATATTCCTACATACTATTCGACAAAAAACCTCAAACATCGTTCATTAAATCATGCTATATCTGCTACTTATGTCTGCAAAAGAATTTGATACAGAGGAATTGAATGGCATTATATCGAGTAAAGTGTTCATTATTCTATCCTTGTATGCACTACATGGGAATGGTTCAATATTTGCGATTTTGTTTTTGAGAAACAGGGCAAATAAGCTCACGTACTAATAAAAAAAGGTCAAATAAGCTCTTATATAGGAGGCTCTGTCCGGCCATCGCCATTTGGGGTGGTTCTCGGTGGAATTTTTGATGAAATTTTTTGAGCATCTTATTCATTAAGTCTAGTTTACGCATACCAAATTTCAACTAAAACTTCAATCGGGAAGACATTCAAATGAATTCTTGAAGATAACCAAGAAAGGCTGGAATTTATTTGATTTAGACACTGGCAAATATTTTTCTTCTCGAGATGTAGTCTTCTATGAGGCACTGGCAAATATTTTTCTTCTCGATGTGGTCTTCTATGAGACCATATTTCCATTTGCAAATGTTACTGCGCATGACTTAAATGGGGCTCCTCAATGGGGCTCCTCAATGGAACCGCATGACCATCAGGATTCTTCACACCAAATAGATAGTGGGGCAGTAGGTGCATCAGCTGACTCCAACACTCTTGGCTCTCACAATGATTATGCGTCTGAGGTGGATACCGAAATGAGCACTGAGGTCAGGGCCGGTCCTGGGGCATGGGCAGGAGGGGCATGCGCCAGGGCCCTTTGCTCCAGTAGGGCCCATAAATTTCTCAAATATGTGTGTGTTTGTGTACATCACTATTTTAATTACATGTACATCCTAAATCTATATATAAAAGGTAAAATATAAAATCAAACTTATATTTCTTAGATACTTCTAATTAGTTATTCAGCATCTACACGATACAAGTCTATAATTTCGAAACATCCACATTAGAATTCATTGAGAACATATTTCACCAATTCTTTTGAATCATTATATTACGGATTATTGCATTAATTTTATTCTTTTAGTGTCCATGTCTTATGTATATCCAGAGCTTATTGATATATTTCACAAATTTCCTCCGATTCTTTTAGTGAAAGATTGAACTTTGGTGTCCATAATTTAGAAACGTAGAATTTGTTTTTGTCTAGTGAAAATGTGATCTAAAATATGAAAACGTTACTCCTAATTATACAAGATATAATTTCACAGCTTTCCTTAATTTAAAATTTTTATTGCACCTAATAGTTGCACTACTTGTTTCACTCGGCTTTTAGGTACATCGTATCCTCAAATGTCACTTATCAAATACCCTATATATATTTTCTAACCATGTGATTTGTTAGTCTTTTTGATGTGTTATACTACTTTAGGACGGTAAAATTGTATAATTTTAAATTATAGATTATTATAGCAAAAAGAACATTATAAGCATCCCCCGCTATCCTTGAGGCCCAGTCTATTTGTATTGTCCCGGACCCATAAAATGTCAGGACCGAGCCTGACTGAGGTTCTGGGACAGGGACATAGGCAGAAAATTCCGAGTACTCGTCTTCATGACTTTGTCACCGGTGGCGGACCCAGAAAAATTGAGTCACGAGGTCCCTATCATAATATAATTCTAATTAATATACAATTAATAAAAAATAAAGTAAAATATTAAAGAAGCATAATGTTTAATAGTTAAAGTACATCATCAAAACATGAAGATAGTACAGAATGTAACGCACAAAGTTACATATAAAATTCATTTTACAATTACATATAAATTCATTCTACAACTGAAAAAAGTAATAAAAAAAATTAATGGGACTATAAAATTTTAATATCAAAATGTGTATGGTTTTAATAGAAACAAATCCAAGAAAAATATTATTTATAGTTATTTAAGGGGAAAATAATTTAAATACCCAAAACTTCTAATCAAATGGTGATAGATAAACATCTCAAACATGCATATGTAATAAAAATAACCCAAAGTGTATATAAAATTTATCTTAGCACCATCACAATATTCTTTTTTCTTTCATAAATGTATGCTTATAGTGTTAAAATACTTTGGGCAATTATAAGGATGAAATTATTAATCTAAGCTTTAATATATGAAATGCATAACAATAACAAACAAGCTTATAATGTTAATTGCACACTAAAAATGCTTAGAATATTTAAATTATTTACTCAACACTGTAATTCTACATTTGTGAAAGAAAAAATATGATCATTATGCTAATTTTTGTTTTTAAATTTGGAATATTCATATTAGATATGCAAGTTAAGGGTGTTTATCTCACACCCCTCAAAAGTTCATAGTACTTTAATTAGTTTACTGTTTACCCATTATATACTTAATATTTTATTAAATGGGAAGATTTTTGAAGGGGAAAAAATACTTAGCTTTTTTTAAGGGGAAAAAATAGGATGATTTTATTAAAACCAAAGCAACATTTTGGTCTTTTAGAACAATAAGGTAAAAAAAATTAAAAAGAAGCATCAAGGGTGCTCAAGAAGAATTGAAGGGGAAAAAATAGGATGATTTAGGGATTTTATTAAAACCAAAGCAACATTTTGGTCTTTTAAAACAATAAGCTCAAAAAAATTAAAACGAAGCATCAAGGGGGCTCAAGAAGAATCAAACCCTGGCACCTCTGAAAGATGGAAAGACCTTTATCCACGCATTACTCAACTCTACCACTTACGTCTTTTAGCACCTTTGTAGCTTTTGTTGTACATATAATCAGATTGTTTAATTTTATTTAAAATATAGATAATATATAGGTAATATTTTGGAAGTACACGGGGTCTCGGGACCCCGTGGGACCCTTAGTGGGTCCGCCACTGTTTGTCACGTATACTACACAAGTTGCCCCCATCGCTGCTACACCCACACCGTTCTTGTCCTCAGGTACGCGGTATCCTATTACACAATATGTGAATTATAATATTTTTTCTAATGTCCATCGTAAGTTTCTTGTAGCAGTTACCGCTAACGTTGAACCTCTTCTTTCAAAGAAGCCATGCGGGACTCGCACTGGCGACAAGCCATGCATGATGAGGTTCGTGCCCTAGAGGATAATCAAACCTGGACTATTGAGGATTTGCCTCCCGGCAAAACAGCCATTGGATGTATGTGGGTTTTTCGCATTAAATATAAGTCTGATGGGGCCATTGAACGATATAAGGCTAGACTGGTTGTTTTTGGCAATCATCAAGTACCAGGAATTGATTTCGTTGAGACCTTCGCTCCAACTGTCAAGATGGTGACAGTGCGTACCTTTCTTACGGTTGCTATTGTTAAAAATTGGGAGCTACATCAAATGGATGTGCATAATGCCTTCCTTCATGGTGATCTTGCTGAAGAAGTATATATGAAGCTTCATCCTGGATTTGGTGATCATTCTCCGGGTAAAGTCTGTCGACTACGAAAATCCTTATATGGACTCGTCAGGCTCCTCGGTGCTGGTATGCTAAACTTGCTTCAGCCTTACGGTCCTATGGTTTTCAAAATAGTCCTTCTGATCATTCTTTGTTTGTTTATCAAAAAGGCTTTGTTACTTTAAGCATTCTTGTTTACGTTGATGATCTCGTCATTGCTAGAAATGATAGTGACTCTATCACTCAATTCAAGAATTATATGCATACATGTTTTCGTATGAAGGACCTAAGGAAGCTTAAATATTTCCTTGGTCTTGAGGTTGCTCGTAACTCCAGGTGGTATTTTTCTATGTCAACGTAAATATGCTCTGGCTATTCTGACTGAGACTGGTCTCCTTGCTGCCAAACCTGCCAGCACACCGATGGAGGAAAGCCACTTTTTAGCTCTTGCTTCTGATGATCTCTTGAATGATCCTGTCAAGTATCGACGCCTGGTTTGTCGATTGATTTATCTAACCATTACGCGGCCTAAGCTGTGTTATTCTGTTCACGTTCTATCTCAGTTCATGCAGAAACCTACTCGGTCTCAGTGGGAAGCGACGCTCCGCGTTGTCCGCTATTTAAAGACTAGCCTTGGTCAGGGTATTCTGTTGAAAGCGGATTCTGATCTTTCTTTACAAGCTTATTGTTATGATGCCGATTAAGTTAGTTGTCCTTTGAGTAGACGTTCTCTTACTACTTATGTTGTGTTTCTTGGTGGTTCTCCCATCTCATGAAAAACTAAGAAACAAGCTACAGTTTCTCGCTCTTCGGTTGAGGCCGAATATCGGCCATGGCATCTGCTACTTGTGAGATTATCTAGTTAAAAGGTTTATTAAAGAGCTTGAGGGTTTTACATATATCTCCTGTTTCCCTACATTCTGATATTCAAGCAGCGCTACATATTGCTAATAAACCAACCGTGTATATATCTCAGAATTGACACATGAATATACAAGCGATTATTTACCCATTCACATATTCCTTTATTCACGTCAAGCATTTTATGCTGCCCCATCTCATATAATTGAACCTACACCCAAGCTGTTTCCAACCCACACTGGAGAAAAGCCATGCGGGATGAAATTTCTTCTATTGAGTCCATTGGCACTTGGCTTATTACTGACTTACTTCCAGGAAAGACTCATATTAAGTGATAATGGGTGTATAAAGTGAAATATCATGCAGATGGCAGTATAGAAAGATACAAAGCACGCCTAGCTGCCAAAGGATTCACTCAAATTGAGGGTTTAGACTTTCTTGATACTTTTTCTCATGTGGCTATGTTTACCATAGTAAGGGTACTACTTGCATTGGTTGCTTCCAAAGGCTGTTTTTTAGAGCAACTAGATGTTAATAATGCTTTTCTCGTGATTTACATGAAGAAGTATATATGAACATTCCACCAGGTTTTCTAGCAGGCAATGGTTTTCTAGCTTTCTACAGCTTTAAAGGATTATGGTTTTGTTGATTAAAGGATTATGGTTTTCTAGCAGGCAATGGTTTTCTAGCTTTCTACAGCTTTAAAGGATTATGTGGATTACTCCTTGTTTACATTACATGAAGAGAATTTCACCCTGATTCTCTTAGTGTATGTTGATGATATTCTAGTTGCCTCTTCCAACATGGAGAAAATTAAACATGTGAAACAGTTCTTGGATGACCAGTTCAAATTAAAATACTTGGAGCCTATCAAATTTTTCTTGGGCTTGGAAGTAGCTCGTTCTTCAAAGGGTTTGTTTCTGTGTCAACGCAAATATACTCCGTACAATGGATCTTCTCCAGCATGTTTTTGAAAGTTTACATGTTTTAAGCTTATTCTTATTGATGTAATTAAACCTATACAGTCTGTGGGATTATATAAATGTTGTGATAAACTTTCTCTGTGGACCCAAAGCATCGGATGCTTGTGCTGCTGAGACATCTGAATGGCTCAAGCACTTTGATGTTGTCACACTTGCAGGTCAACTTTTCTTGTTTCATAATTGAATACCGCTAGGATTGCTAGTCTTATAGTGTTGTCTACTAGTCTTAGAGCTTAAATGCTGATCTCATAATGAAAGAAAGACATGCTAGAACTAGTCTTACAGCGCAAAACCAGGGTTTTACGTTCAAAACGCGACTTTTTAATAATAATAATAATAATAATAATAATAATAATAATAATAATAATAATAATAATAATAATAATAATAATAATAATAATAATAATAATAATAATAATAATAATAATAATAATAATAATAATAATAATAATAATAATAATAATAATAATAATAATAATAATAATAATAATAATAATAATAATAATAATAATAATAATAATAATAATAATAATAATAATAATAATAATAATAATAATAATAATAATAATAATAATAATAATAATAATAATAATAATAATAATAATAATAATAATAATAATAATAATAATAATAATAATAATAATAATAATAATAATAATAATAATAATAATAATAATAATAATAATAATAATAATAATAATAATAATAATAATAATAATAATAATAATAATAATAATAATAATAATAATAATAATAATAATAATAATAATAATAATAATAATAATAATAATAATAATAATAATAATAATAATAATAATAATAAACAGGACACTTTTTAAATGCGTTTTAAATTGGAAAAAGCTAAATTTCACCAGCTGTAACTGCATTTGGCGTTTTTCACCATCGGACAATCTAACTGATTCTAACTACATTCGTTCGAGTTTCTCTATCCTTATAACGGTAACAGACTGGCCAGTTCTACTAAAAAACGAAAGTGCCTGTATATAAGCGAAATGAGAGTTCCCAAGCGTTCATTTTCCTTTTGCCTTTCGTTCTCCTCTCTATCCTTTCTCGAAACTTCCGTTTCTACTCCCGCTGCAATTTCGCCGACAAAGGCAAGCCGCTTCGTTCTCCAGGTGTGTTACTTTTAATACATGGAGAGTATGATTCTCCTCTTTGTAGTTTTTCTTAATGTGCTGTTGCCGGTGGATTGAACTCGTGTTTTCGTATGACCTGATTCTTCTTTTTCTTACTTGAGTTGGATATACAAGGCATTTTGCTTAAATTCTCTGTAATGTTATTTCTGTTGTTTTGATAGGTTGTTTACCGCTGAGCAATTTCATGGTTGAAATGAAATTATTAATGTGTTATCTAATGAACTTCTATGCTTGAATCTGAATTCGAAACTGATTGATTTGACTTCCACCTTAGTGTTTCTCACCGATTTGAAATTATCTCAAACCTTCGCTCTGCCTGTTCAGTAACTATTTGATATTTTCTAAACAAGGTTTCAATATTGAAATATCTTTTGAAGAACTAATAATGATCTGCATCTCTCTCTCGCTTCTCTCTCTGGATACACATATATAGTTTGAAGCCATTCTTCTTCCTCTTCTTGCTTGAGCTGGCTGTGTATGGCAAACTGAATGCTCCTTCTCTGTAATGTTATTTCTATTACTTTGCTTTTATCTAACTACTTTTGTGTTATCGTTCTAAAATTCTGGCTTAACTTGTGGTTCATAAAGTGAATAGTTGTTTTTGAATTACTGTTGCGCATTTCCAAAGTCCTGCGAGTGCAATGAAATTATTAGGTGAAAATAACTCTGACAAAATATAGGTGTTCCCTTGGAGCATATCATTGAGTATGCTGTCAAGTCCAAACATAACCTGGCCGTTGTTTCTTTTTCCTTGGCAAAGAGTCGCTTGATGTAAACTTTACCATATTTCTTGTTATCACCTGGTTTTTTTAATAGCCTTGTGCAGTAGTTATGTTTTTAGTCTTATACATGCTTGAAGTCTGGTACATTATCTACTGCCAACAGATATAGGGTGTTAAGGTTGTTATGGCTGTAAAGGTCTGATATCTATATCAAACTTTTGTTGAGTAATGTGGATGCAAAAGGCATGCAATATATAGCAACTCTGAACTTACGCATAAATGTAATGATAATAATCATTTGCACATTATGGTAAATGTGTATTGGGTGCTTGTCATTGCTTGTGAAGTGTTATGCTTTTAGTAATTAGTGAATGTCATTGCAATTACCTTGTTTGGTAGGTCTGGAGGGGGGGATGGGTTCTGGCGTTCTGCAGCACATTCGTATATCTGGCAATGCGATCCAAATAAATAATTCAAGTTATGACACTTGCCCATACATTCAGGTTGTGCAATGGCTGGTGTGGGCTTGAAGGACCAGGAAAAACCACTTGGAAGAGAAAATGCTGCTGATGATGGTCAGAGTTCTTGCATATGGGCTCCTAAAGGAGGCTGCAAATTTGGTAAGGAAAAACAGATATTTTGCAATATAATGAAACTGGTCGAGGATTTGGGGTATCCTCAAGAGGTTAGCGTATGCTATGTCAGTAAGAGTAGTATTACCATGAATCTTGTGATTTATGTGAATCATGCCTTTCTTTAGGTGCTACATTGGCAGCTTTCCTCTCCACTATTTTATTTACGTACATTTAGTGTGTTGTAGTCTATCATTGCATGATTATGTAATTCCAATGGTGTGTTAATATATTGATAAAAGGTATTGGATTTTAGGTCATTTTAAAAGGTAATTGGTGGATGCAGTATTGGATTTTAGGTCATTGTATTATAACCCTACCAGATTTTGGAATTGATATTCTTACAATGGGTCATCCTGCTGTTCGCCCAGAGCTCGATTCAGTAGAGCAGGAGGATCAGTTGACCCATGAAATATCTCTTCCGGATACTATAGAAGATGAAGATGCACTGAATATTTTCAAGCCAGATCCCAATTACTTAGAAAACGAAAATAAGTATGAAGAATCGAAAAAGGCAATACTAGGTGATGAATCTGAGGAAGAAGGGGATTTTGATGCTGAGTCTGTGGATGAAGATGAAGATGAAGATGAAGAGGATGAAGTCGATGACAATGAAAAGCAAATGAAAATAGCCGATGAGATGGAAACAAACTTAGGCAACCTTCGAAGAATCATCTATCTAACAATAATGTCAAATGTGGACTTTGAAGAAGCAGGCCGTAAACTGTTGAAGATTAAACTTGAGCCTGGTCAAGAGGTTAGTGTCATTTATTTTTCATTTATGTATCTGTTTTGTGTTCATTGTTGGTTGTGTAGAGTATGCTATTCACTTATGGGGTTGACACTCCTAACTCCCACAATTATAAAAACAAACTTCAAGAGGGTGGGGGGTGCTTTGGGAGAATGGAAATGATTTCCTCCATCTCAAAGTTAATGGCTAAGATGCGTTTTATTGCCATGCTTGTCCTCTATTTCCCAAGCTTAATTTTGAATGAGACCGGTGTTTTCTAAAATTGTAAGAAATTGGACAGCGTAAAGGGTGTTACCATGAGACAACTTAAACCAAGTATGTATCACGCATTCATGTAGTGACAATAAAGGAGTTCAACATAGAAACTAGTTAAGACCACAATTTGTAATTTGGTGACTGTATCCAACACAGTTCTGAGTGGTATTTCGCTTTTATTATCATGCTTGTATATTCCAGTATACTATATGCAGTTCTTTTTAAAGCAGATTATAATGTTTGATAGAAGATTCATTGAAAAGTTAAAAGTTAATGTTAACAATCACCTTCCTTTTGGCAGGGTGTGGTGTATTTAGGTGGTTACCAACTTGCCAGTAAAAGTTGAAATTCAGAATTGGTTAAATGAATTACTATTCAATGCAGTTATGCAGAATAGGAATTCTCTGTGTCACCATGATGATCACTAACTTTTCTTTAGGTATGTTTGAATAACAGAATATGCTAGGTGAAGGAGAAAAGAATACTCGGTTAATTCGTTATGTATTTTTACTTATATAAATGCAAAAGAAATTGGAAATTGTGTAATTTTTAAAAGATAGATATTCATATACTTATATTTCTAATGGTCTGTCTATAATAGTACTCCTAAGTGAGAGTGATGCAATTATTAAGAAAACTGGAATTGTGTTGTGGGTAGTGAATTGGTAAATTGCGAACAAAGAAGTAAGAATGAATTGAAACCACTCAAATATTACCAAATATGGTATAAGACAAACTTAGTTGGATGAATGAAAAAATGAGACAAAAATAAGGGGACGTAGGGAGTATATGGAATGAGTTTGAATAAATATCTGGAATAAGTTTATTGAGTTAAGAGCCTACCTCCCCCCCCCCCCCCCGAATTTGAGTTGCATGTCATTTTCTTCTTGCATATTCTCTGTCATTAGCATTTTCCTGGATCAAAACAGACCTTAGTGACCCTGAATGCTACATAGGGTCCTGACATTTTACTGATGATGTGATATTTAGTATTCAGTTGGGTACACAAGTAACTCTCTCATGGTATGTTTTCGTTGTGTGCAGATGGAATTAAGCATAATGCTTCTAGATTGCTGCAGCCAGGAGAGAACCTACAAGTGTTACTATGGGCTTTTGGGTCAACGTTTTTGTATGATCAACAAGATTCACCAGGAGAACTTTGAAAGGTGCTTTGTGGAACAGTACTCGATGATTAATCGATTGGAAACCAATAAACTGAGAAATGTTGCCATGTTCTTTGCCCACTTGCTTGGAACTGATGCATTGCCTTGGCATGTTCTGGCTTACATTCGACTCACAGAAGAAGATACCACCTCCTCTTCCCACATCTTCATCAAAATTCTCTTTCAGGTAAGCTTCATGAATAGTAAATCTTAAACCCCTTTCATTCTCTTGCTTTAATCTTTTTATGATTTCTTTGGTTCCGTGCACTCTTATCTCATCATGATAAGTGTTTTGCTGTGCCTGATCCCCATCAATAATCCATGCTTGCCTTCTATCACGATTACTCTGTATTAGTTTTTAAATTAAAAGGCAATTTTCAGGAATTCTTAAAAAATTTAATCCTATGCTTGCCTTTTATATGCAAATTTAATTCCTAAAAAGTGAATTGATGTTTTGCTCACAAACTGTTTCTTATATGCAATGTAGCTTCTTAATACCACTTTGATGCATTTTATCCCCTCTATTTAGTACGTAGACAATATAATCCGTCACACTATCATGTCTTAAAGATGGAGTCAACCAGCTTGAGCATCTTTTGAATGGATCATAAATTTGTAACTGGGGGGGGGGGGGGGGGGGACTACACTACAGAATGTGGACACATCCTTATGATTGCGGGCAGTATGCCAATAACATCCCTATGATCTATTTTCATCATCACCATCACCGTCACCCCCGGTGCGGCAAAGGCTCCCACCTACAATGGGGTAAGGGGGTCGGATGTACGCAGTCTTACCCTTGTACTTAAGTACAAAGAGACTGTTTCCGGATGACCCATAGTGAAAATCGCGTCGAAAATTACATGGACTAACTACTGCTTCATAACAAAGAAGCGCAGTCAGTGCACTATGCACTGTCTGCACTAAATTGAAACTTGTATTTTGTGCTCACCCGACTACATTCAGCCTTCATGATATCACAAATCATTGTGCAGTGCTTAGTGTAGTGCTACTGACTAACCATTTTTTGTCCATGTTTAAAACTAATGTTCTGAAATTAATGGGCTTAAGGGAGGGGAGATTTTATTAAAACCAAAAAGTTGTATTCATTTTTAGGAAGTCGCAATTGCTATATTAATGTCAACAGACCCCATACTCTTATGGATAGGTCTTGGATGTTGTCGTTGTTGTGGCAATTTCTGTATTAACAGTGATCACTATGCAGGAATTATCTGAACATCTTGGGATCCGGCTTTTGAATGAACGCCTGAATGACCCAACCATGCAAGAGTCGTTTGCCTCTATTTTTCCAAAGGATAACCCGAACAACACAAGGTTTGCAATTAATTTTTTCACATCCATTGGCCTAGGTGGGATCACTGAGAACCTCCGAGAACATCTGAAGAATATGCCACGCCTCATCATGCAGCAACAACAGAAGCCCACCTCCCCTGCTTCTTCTGATTCATCAGGCTCGCCATCCAGCAGCAGCAACAGCTCTGAGAAAGAGGACCTCACCAAGAAAAAGCAGGAGGCATTGATCTGCCCAATTGTCTGACTCTGTATATAATCTTTTTAGACCGAGTTCTCTTTTTAAACATTTTTCCTAAAACAAATAGGTGACTTTATACTTTCCCCACTGTTTTATATTTTTATGCAACTCAGAAATACTGCCTGAGTATGAGTGTCTAGGAGACTGGTTTGCTTTTCTTGTCCAAAAGTTTGCAGACAATGCGTCAATGCTTGCGTAGGTTTGTTCGAAATGGATGCTTAAACCATGCTTACAGACTAGTGGTTAATATCAAACATTCAAACATTAATCCCCCCTCACTCAACAAGTTCTGTAATTTCAGTAGGGTTGCAAATAAAAGGCCGTGTTTGGTTATAAATAAAAGGTCGTTTTTTGTTATAAATAAAAGGCCGTTTTCATGCCCCTTTAAGCAGGAACCAAACTCGTAATAAACGTCTATTTTTCAGCAATGTAAAATCGATTATTCTTGATCTGATTCGCTACTCATTGCCTACCTCTTCTATTATTCTTGATCTGATTCGCTACTCATTGCCTACCTCTTCCATAACCTATATACATGGAGTAGCTTGATATGATTTTGGATAGTCAAACCAGACCTGAATCATTAACTGCTATGAGCTTCTTGACCGGGCAAAAAGTGTGGTTTGTGTCTGGAATTATTTATGAGCTAAATAGCATATTAGCCGTCAATGATGGTGATGAGTTGCATTTTCAATTCAGACGCCTATTTATGTGTCTTTGAAGCAAAGCAAGATTGCTATACATTCACTTTGTCAATATCCTTCCTCACATCGATGTCTTTTTACTATCATTTTCTGCTTACTTGGTCCCTGTTCAATCCTTGAAAGCAAGCTGTGATATCCCCATTCTTTTATGAAAATTCATAAACCATGGAGGCTAACTATAGACTTAGGATTAAAGCAAGCTCCTCACATTTTGATCTTTTACTGTTTCTCTAATCAGATGTCAGTGTTAGGATTTTTTTTATTAATTACCTTTGTTCATCTCTAAATTAAATTACATATGATAGTGTTCGTTTATTTGAGTGGCGCTCATGGAAGGATTCCAGAGATTTAAGCCTATTAATTAATATTTTTGCAGAAAATACTATATTTAATCCTACATACCGTTTGACAAAAACTTCTAACATTGCTCATTAAATTATGTTATATCTGCTTCTTATGTTTGTAAACAATATGATCCGATCCTTGTATGCATTACATAGGATTGGTTCCCCATATATCTTTGTGAGATATTTTTTTAGATTAACTTAAAATTGATTGAAAATTCAAATATGTGAGAAAATATTAAGTACATTCTCTTAATTAAAGGGCATCTGGACATTTAATAAAGTGGCACAAAGGCTTAACTTTAGTGAAGAGCCATTGAGGATAGTCTTCAATTAAAGTGACTTTCAAGTTACTTGATCTTTAGCAAAGAGCCACAAATGCTTCATCTTCAATTAAAGGGTATTCTGATAGTTTAATCTCTAAAACATTGGAAGAGGGTTGTCGACAGTAGCAACCCCAAAAACTCTAAGGGAGTGTTTGCAACTGCTTCTGCTAAAAACAAAACACTTTTGGAGATGTAAGGAAAAAGTGATTAGTAGTAAAAGTTGATAGTGTTTGAGAAAAAAGTGATTTTGAAAAGTAAAAGTTGGTAGTGTTTGGTAAAATAAGTGCTTTTTGTGTAATAGAAAAGGGAAAAGCACTTTTCACACGCAAGCCGAGAAAAAGTAAAAATTGGTAGTGTTTGGTAAATAAGTGCTTTTTAAAGCCAAAAGCTGAGAAGTGCTTTTTTTTAAGTAGTTGCAAACACTCCCTAAGCTGGGGCGCTAGTAGTAAAACTGTATTATTCAATAGTTTAACACAGTATAATATTTATGGAGCATTTACATAAAACATAAACACGTATTTGTATATTAGGTAAGTTGAGAACGTTATTATATGACCAAATCATCGTGAACTATTGGATTTCTACATAAAGTTCTTGGATTGAGTGAGAGTGCTTAAGTTTTTTAGCAAAAGTTTTGTATCATTTTTTTGTACAACTTTTGTATCATACAAAAAGTGATTGATCGAAAATGGCATCTTGATAGCCTTCATTTGTAGAATGTTTTCCATACATATTGAGCGCCCCGAGGCTAGTTTGCAAAGGTTCATAAATAATCTTAAATCGTGCAACGAAGGAGATTAGCCATTAATGAAAATCAAAACAACCATTCTTACACGAAATTTGTACACATTTTGTGCACGTTACACGTAATTATATGTGTGTGCGCGAGTTGCCTGTACATAGGCAACTAAGAGATCTACACATTGTCAATGTACACAAGACAATTACGTGTAATGTGTGCGAAATGTGTACAAATTTCGTGTACAAATAGAGTTTTTCAAAACTAATTGGTCATCCGCACATGTTAGTGGATTATAGTAGGAATTAGGGACCCTTCTAGCCACCTGAAACTGACATATTTTCTTTTGTCCAACTAGAAACTTCAAGTCTCTCGAAAAAACATTCTGAGACCAGTAAGAAAAGGTAGAGAGAGGGGGGTCCCTTGTTTGATCCCCTCTTTGGTGGAAGAAGCCCACAGTTTGACCGTTCACCACTACGGATAAGGTGAGTAGCTTTGAGATTGTGCATGATTAACTAATTCACCTCATCAATGAAACCCATTCAAGTAAGAAAAACCTCTAAGAACTTCCAAGAAATGCGGCCAAAACCCTTAATCATATCAAGTTTTACGTCTATATTATTACCCTTATTTTTTATCCCATATGTGTATAATGTCTTTAGTGAGCAAATTGTGTTGATGTATATTTCTCCCTTGAATGAAAGCCCTCCGGAGAGATCAACTCTGGAAGAATCATTTTTAACCTGTTGACCAAAATCATGGAACAAACTTTGTTGATGAAGTTGGAAACACAAATAGGGTGGAATTGATCAAAATCATTAGGTTTCCTCGCTTTAGGAATGAGAATCATCATGTCACTTCCCATAGCAGTAGGAATTCGCACCTCTAGGAAGAATTCTTAAATGGCTGAGATAACGTCCTTTGATATAATATTCCAGCAATGTTTGAAAAAGAAGCCTGTAAATCCATCCAGGCCCAAAGAGTTGAGACTCCAAATTACTTGCACAAAGATTTTCATTATTTGCATTGCTAACACAGTTAGGAATAAATTGGAGCATTTAATTGCATGTATCCGTATTAATATGCTCGTCATGATAGAAATTAGAATAGAACCCCACTACTGCTTTGCTAATTTCCACCTTATCTTCACAAAATCTGCCATGCATGTCTTTTATAGAGAGGATCTTTTTTGCCTTCTTTCAGCCACATAATTGTGACAGAATTGTGTGTTAGTGTCTCCCTCATGAAGCCATATTATATTTGGTTTTTGTCTCCAGAGTCTCTTTGAGTTTAGCTTCTGAAAATGGGCAGCTTTACATTTTGACTAAATCTCCTTCAAATCTCCCTATTTTCCTGAGTCATCTAACATCTTCTTCAAATATTTTTTCTACCCACAATGCCTCACTTCAGCCTGTTTAACTGCTTCAAAAACGTTGCTGGAGAAAGTTTTGTTCCATTCTTTTAGAGGACTTCATGTTTTGAAGTTTTCTAAAAATGCATCCCTCCCCAATATTCTTTGGCATTCCATCTTTTCCTGATAATTTCCATAAAAGATTTATGTGAAACCCACATTTCTTGGGACCTATTGTGAAATTTGTTGAAACCCACATTATTAGGAATTTCATCATTGTGAAATCCGATCAGTACGGATGTGAAGTTGCGTTTTTAAATCTACACTACATTTTTTCCCAAAAATGGCACTCATATCATTTTCAACTTTTATATAGCTCTTTAATCAAGTCAAAGTGTCAAACGCACACAGAAATATGTCAAACGCACGGTAATCACAACTAACACACAAAAATCAACCATAGAAATATACGGAGTCTATTTTTTTGCTACACACCCAAGAAAGCAAGTTTGTAAAGTAAGGTAAGCGTGGCAGGTACAACCCTAACACCGTCAAATATTGTTAGAGGAAGACAATCAATTTATAAAGCCAACTATATCATACATTAATAGGAGTGTAGATTATTGTTGAGAAAATGCATGCTATCACCAATAACATTAAATAGCAATATTAACCGTAATATGGCACCAAAAGAACTTGGAAAATTAATAAAATAAAAGTTTAAGTTACTCTGAAATATCTTAGTTTTCGGTACATCTCACCATCCTTTAGGCCGGGTGGACTTCCATCAGTCATACAAACATTTCACTCATAAGCTCATTCTAATATGTCATTTTCCAACTAACTAAGAAGAGATGCCTGGAGATGAAATGTTCCCACAGAAATTTGTGTCTAAATGCAATCTTGATAGCGTACCATCATCCCTGCATAAATCCTGCAGTATACATATTGATTTATAATAAAACTTAGTTTCGAAACATTATAAATCAATTGATTATATAATACACAGTTTTGAGTTATCTCTAAATATGTCAAAAACATACATGGAGTGGCTAAAATTTTATGTGTTTTGTTAATTTTTTATTTTTGATATGAGGGATGACTTAACGACTATGTACATATTCAAATATTTACCTTGGTAGATGCCAATTGGGTAAGAAGTCCATGGTGATCATGAATTGATGTTTCCACAACTACAGGGTTCTCTAGATTGGTGATGCTGTTCTTCATTAATGGCATAGTATACTGACCAGTGGAATTCTGAATAGAAGCATGATTATTGGTCTGTTCCAACATTTCTTGGTGTCCAGAAAAAACACCTGCGTTTCCTTTATCATATTCAAGCCCAGCTTGAGGGAATTGGCCAGATTGTAAGGATTCCTCGAAATAGCCCGGATACAAACTCAGTCCATTTCGCATGGTCAACACCTGAAATTACCCCCAGACCACCCGCTATATATAAAATGGACTTCCCAATCTTATTCCTCAAGTTTTAAAAAAAAAGTTTCCTGTAAATATTACTGAAATAAAATTCATGAACAAAAATATGACTAAAATTACTATAAATATAAAAAATTGTGTAAGATTAGTCATTAACTTACTACTGCAAACACTAAAGTTTAATAGTCACATTTAATCCACTACATTTATTTTAGTCATATATATTTATCATATTTCTATTAAAAATGAGACTCGGGCACTAAATCAAATTAGAGAATAATATTCAGTATAAGAGATGTGTAAACATATTAATGTAATGGGATTAGAACGGAACTCCATCTAAGAAATTTTCAAAATATGATCAAATTGGTGGTAGTCATTAAGCCATAGTATGGTTTAGTG